AATATGTCAGGTAAATATGCCCCACCAGGCGATAAGGACTCAATGTGAGGGTGTGGGTTTGGCCTCCCGGCTTTAGACCTAGGAGTGGCCAAGGGACCAAACTGTGGGCACGCGCCGGGTCCGACTTTACCCTTCCAGTCCTAATTCTGCACATCAGCCAGACAAGGGCCAGCGCAGGGACCTCAGCGCCTGTGGAGCATCACTGGGGCAGGAGAGAGGTGGGAACGCTGGGTGGAGACAGGATGAGGCCATGGTGCAAAGGAGAGGCTGGAGGAGGACGGGGGGCGGGGGGGGCGTTTGAGCGGCTGGTGCAAATGGAGGCACTGGGGCCTGGCTGGCCCCGAGGAGTGGACAGGAGCCAACCTGGCTGCTGTGGGGCCACATCCTGCTTGGCACAGGGGCCCTGGCCTGGCTGTGGGTGAAGGCAGGGCTGGGGTGGCCTCTTGGAGGGTGTTGGGGCTGCGGAGGCTCCCAGAGCACCCAGCACCCAGAGGAGAGCCCGGCTGGGCTGGCCAAGGGTGCCATCTCCTGGGGAGAGACCCAAAGAGCCAGGAGCATGGCTGGGCCCAGCACCGCACCCAGGCACAGGATGGGCAGCCTGGGGTGCAGCAATGTGGGGCTGGGGCTGCCCCTGGGGCTCTCTGCTCCCCCAAGCCAAGCCCTCGCTGTCCTCGGCTCCCATTGCCACCAGGGCAGGCAGCCAGGGCTGCTCGAGATGTGGCTGCAAGAGGCCATGGTGGCTTTTGGCCATGGCACGTGGGTGCAGGCCCTGCACAGACCTCCACCGTGTCACCACGCACCCATCCGGGCACCCACCTGCACCGAAACACCGGGCAGTGGTGGTGGGTACAGCGCACCGGTGACTCCGTGGCTTTGGTGACATAGCAGCTCTGAGCTTTGCCACAAGGAATTGGTGGTGGTGGCAGGACACGGGGGACACCAGGCAGGGGACGGGCACATCCTGGCCTCAGTGCATTCGAGAGCGCACGTCTGCAGGAATTAGGGTGAAAGAAATGAGTCCTCGGCCATCTGCACCCAGCCTGGCCTCCCAGTTGCAGGTTTCGACCCAAAATGACTCCTCTTAACCTTCCCCCGTCACAGGGCCCCATTTTTCAGGTCCCAAAGGGAGCACGTGTGCGAGCAAATGCCTTGGTCACAGCCCAGCTCTGTCCGAGCATAGGGACCACAAAAAGCCAAGGGGCTGAGGGGAGGTTGGGAGGAAAATATCCCAGCAAAGCTGCTCAAAGGGAACGTGAGGCATCCCCAATACGTTTTTGGAGCGAAACACTGTCTGCCTGTTACCTGCAGCTCTCCTCGCAGCAACACCACTGGGGCAGGAACCCAGAGGAAAAGTAAACCAGAACATTTTATTGTTGGGACAAAACTGGGCTCTATGACCCCAAATAGACTGGGGCACCTCCAGAGTCATCTGCAGATGCAGAACGATCTGGGGGGATGCTGCGGGGTGCAAAGCCAGGGCAAACCGAAATGACTCTGCCTGCTGCCTGCTCAGCGAGGAGCGACAAACCTCCCCCAAGTGCTTCTCACTTCCCTCTCGAGGACACACCAAGGGGAAACTGCAAGTCTCCGGCTGCTATTTACAGAGGCAGGTTTCCCTTGCAAAATCCCGAGAGCCTGCGGGCAAGGCCAGGGCCATCGCTCCAGGGCCATCGCTCCAGGGCCACGCTCGAGCAGCATCAGCAATGCCAAAAATCATCATTTCCTTTGCTGATGGTTTTAACTCTGGCCTCTGCCAGGGTCACAGCACTGGTGGGATGAGTCTGCACGTGGACGGCCAACCCTACACACAGTCAAAGGGGCATTCTTCTTCCAAAACCCTTGTGCCGTGTAACCCCCCCATTCCTAGCCCTGCCTCTGCCTTCCTGCCCCCTTCCAGGACCCTCCGCAGGTTTTCCCAGTGGGAGACTCACACCAGCAATGCTCCCATCCCTCAAACGCAGCTGCTGATCACCACAGTAAGCACGAAGTAGGAGTTTTTGACCTGACCGGAAAAAACCTTGACGTTTATAGAAAGTAACAGGTAATGGCTTCTTCCTTCCCCCTTCAGCTGCTTCTGCAGAAAGGTCCCACCGGTCCCAGCACCCATCGCCCCTTCCCAGCACCATGGCATGGCCCTGCCCGGGACCCCCATGGGAAAGGAAGAGGAACCCCCAGAAATGGATGCAGGACCAGGGGGAAAGGGTGAAACCGGGAACTGTGGCTTTGCTTTTCCTAGAGATGCCCTCTGGAGCCACATGCCACTGGATAGGTTTACCCAGAGCAGCCATGGATGGGGATCAGGGCTGGGGGTGTTGCCTGGCTGCTCCTGCACGAGTTTGCTGATGGAGCCCATTCCTCTTGCAGGGTGAGGCGAGATCTAATAATAAACACACAGCCGTACCCTCACAGGCTGCCAGCAGCGCAGGGGCAGCTCTCCTCCTCTGTGAAAACCGAGCTGTGGTATTAATGCTTCGTGCACCTCTGCTGTCAGCAGCGAGGGCAGCGCCAGGCCCTGAGCCCAGCCGGGACCTCGGCTGCCCACGCAGGGCAGCACAGGGCAGCACAGTTCCCCTGAAACCCTCCTGCCTCCAAGAAATGGATGCACTGGAGAAAAGCAGTGTTTAAAGCATCTTATTTGGGCCCAGGAGATGCTCTACGTGCCGTGAGCAGCAGCCAGGTGAGCACAGGGGAAGGATGGGTGCTGCAGAGCACCCCTACAAGCCCCTCTGCGACGCGGCTGGTGACACCCATGGCCCGTGCCACCCGTTCCCGGTGCCACGCAGCCCCGCAGGGTGCCTCCCTCCCCGGCCCCCCAGCCCAGGGACACCGACAGGGCCAATGCAAGGTGCTGTGCGGGCGGCCGATTTGCATCGGAGGGATAAGGGGAAACCCCAGGAAGCGCCTGGGCCAGGCATTAATCAAATCGATCTCTAATAATAAACCTCCCGAGCGAGGCGCGGGCTCGGGGCTGGAGCTCGCAGTGCGATGGCAGGAGCCGAGGGGGAGTAGACGCCACGGGAGAGTCAACCGTGAGTTACCCATGGAGGGGCTGGGTGGAGAGATGGGGGTGAGGGCTTTGTCCGTGCAGGGGCTCGGGGCCGCAGTGACATTTCTATGGCAGTGGCAGGGAGCTGAGGGTCTCCTTGGGCTCTCGCTGGAGGAGCAGGACCACCACAAAGGGCTTGCACCCTGCTGCAGAGGGTCAGTGCCACAGGGATGGAGGTGAAATGGTCACTTAATGCTTTGGGTGTGGGGTCCGTAGGGCAGTTTGGGTGCTGGTACTCGGCTGTGCTGGAAAATGTGTGGCTGCAAAGCCTGGCTGTCCCGTGCTGGGAGCACCAGGGGAACCTTGGGGCTCCCTGTGGATGGGAGCTCAGCCATCAGGGCAGGATTTTTGCTGGATGGGGCCAAACACTCATCTTGGACCAGCCCTCGCAGCAGTGGGGAATGAGCTGCCCAGCCTGCAGCCTCTGAGCTTAGACACAGCCCCAGATCTCCATTTCCCAAGCAGTTATCCCATGTGAAACCCCACTGAAGCTCAAGGATGACCAAGCTCATCACCATACCCAGGGGCATT